CAGGGCGCGCTGATAAACCTCCATGGCCTTGGTGTAATCGCGCATGGCCTCGAGAGCTGCGGCCTTCCGGGTGTAACCCTTGACTGGGGACACGGGGGGACACGGGGGGACATCGGGGACAGGGAGGGCGGGACCAGGAAGGCGGGGACAGAGGAGGAGGAGGGTGAGGATGATGAGGAAACAGCAGAGCAAGGGCAGGGCCTGTCCCTGCGTGTCCCCTCGTGTCCCCTCGTGTCCCCTCGTGTCCCCTCTGTCCCTCACTCACTGAAGGTTGGCTCCAGCCGGATGCATTCCTCACAGTCCTGGGGACAAACGGGGGGGTCAGGAACGGCCCAGGAACCCCAAAGCGGCCCCTGCACCCTCCAAACAACCCCAAACCACCCCCCATGTCCCCTTGTCCCCCAAAAAACCAGCACCCCACGTCCCTCTGTCCCCCAAAAACCAGCACCCCATGTCCCTCTGTCCCCCCACACCACCTCAGGACTCTCAAACCCATCCTAAATCCTTCTCCAAACTGATCCTCACCCCTCAAACCACCCCAGGACCCCCAAACCCAGCCCCACAGCCCCCAAACCCCCCGAGCCCGGCCCCAAACCCCCCGAGCCCGGCCCCCCAGCCCCCCCGGACCTTGAGGGCCAGCGGGAACTCGAGCAGTTTGGTGTAGCACGCAGCCCGGTTGCTGTAGAGCCGCGCCTCGTGCGGGTTGCGCCGGATGGCCTCGCTGTAATGCTTCATGGCCTGGGGGTAATCCCCTGCAAACAGACCCCTCCTCACCCTCAGGGCGTGCCCCAAACCCCTCAGAGACCCCTCCCCAAACCCCTCAGGGCCCCCCCACCCAGACCTCGCTGGAAGCACTCGTTGCCTTTGTTCTTCTCCTCCAGCGCCAGGTCGGGGTCGATGTAGGCCAAGCGCTCCTGCTCCTTCAGGATCTTCTCGGCCTGCGGCGGCGATTCGGGGGGTTCAGGGAGGGGTCTGGGGGGGTCCCCCCGCTGTCCCCGTGCCCCCCCAGCTCACCTGCTGACACTTTTTGAGCACGTCAGGCGTGCGGTGCTCGGCCAGGGATTTGTTGTAGAAGTGCACGGCGTCCTTGTAGCGCTCCTCGCGGAAATACGAGTTCCCAATGCGGGCGTAGGCCCTGCCGGCAGCGACGGCGATGGGGGGTTTTTTTTTTGGGGAGGTGGGGGGTACAGGGATACCCCAGACACCCCCAAAAACCCGGCCGGACTCACTTGGCAATCTGCCTGTAATCCTCTCGGTTCTCCCTGCCCACCTCGATGGCGCGCTCGCACAGCGCCCGGCACCGCTCGTACTCGCCCGTCTCGAAGTACACGGCTGGGAGGGAGGGGAATTTTGGGGGGGTTCAGGGGGGGTTTGGGGGTTCGGGACGGGGGGTTTAGGGGGCTTTTGGGGTGACAAACCTGCTTGGTTGGTGACATAGGTCATGTTGGTGGGGTCCAGCTGCTCGGCGCGGGTGTAGTGCTCCAGCGCCGCCGGGAATTCCTTGCGCTTGTAGGCGGCGTTGCCCAATTCCTTCTCCTTCTGAGCCTGGGGGGACCCCAAAAACGGCTGAAATCCCCCCAAATTTCACAGCCAGACCCTCTCCCCATCACCCAGCTCCTTCTGCCTCTGAGCCTGGGGGGGAAACACCCCAAAAACGGCTGAAATCCCCCCAGATTTCACAGCCAGACCTTCTCCCTATCACCCAGCTCCTTTTCCTTCTGAGCCTGGGGGAAACACCCCAAAAACGGCTGAAATCCCCCCAAAACTGACCCCTCACCCCTAAACCTGGCTGGGACCCCTCCCCAAATCCCACCTCCTCCTCCGGCCCCCCAAAACTCCCCCCGACCCCGATCTCTCCTCCCTTTTTTGGGGACCCCCCCCCCCTCACCTCCTGCTTGTTTTGGGGGAGCTCCTCGGCTGGGGGGGGCTGGGAGGGGGGCGGGGGGGGCGGTGGGGGTGGGGAAGGCGCCTCCTCCTCCTCCTCGGCCCCGCTCAGCTCCACCCCCAGCAGGACGCTCAGCGTGGTCATCACCCGCGGGTCCTGCAGCTTCCTGGGGAGGGGGACCCAACATTTCCATCCCAAAATGTCCCCCCAAAATCTTCATCCCAAAATCCTCCTCGAAGGAGGGGGGGGGGGCTCCTCCTGGACCCCCAAAACTCCCTCCCAGTGCTCCCAGTGCCCCTGCTGGCTGTCCCCATTGATTCCCAGTTTCCCCGAGCCCCTTCCAAACTCTTCCTTATCCCCCCCCAAACACTTCCCAGCCCCCCAAAAATTCCTTCCCATCTCCCCAGATCCCTCCCAGTGCCCCCCAGCCCATTCCCAGTGCTCCCAGTGCGCCTGCTGGCTGTCCCAATTTATTCCCCGAGCCCCTTCCAAACCCTCCCCAGTGCCCCCAAATCCCTCCCAGTCCCCCCAAATCCCTCCCAGTGCCTCCAGCACATTCCCAATGCCCCAAAACTCCCTCCCAAACCCCTCCCACCCCCCAGAACTCCCTCCCAGTGCCCCCACAGCCCTCCCAGTGCCCCCCAGCCCCGCACTGACGCCCCCAGCTGCCCGGGGTCGCTGCGCAGCGTCTCCAGCAGCCGCCGGTACTCGGGGTCCCCCAGCAGCCCCCGGGTCCGGGGGTCGGCCTCCAGCCGGGCCAGCAGGTCGGGGGCACTGAAGGGGTTCAGCAGCTTCCGCTCTGCAACGGGGTCACAAAGGGTCAGGCGCCCCAAAAATCCCCTCGGGGATTCCCAAATCCTGCTCTCAACACCCCAAACTCAGCTCTGTCCCCGTCCCCAGCACCCTCAAACTCTCCGAGCTGCTCGGATCCTTTTAGGACCACCTAAACTCTGTCCCAGGCCACTCCTCGGCCCCCCAGATTGCCCTGAGAGCCCCCCATACCTGCCAGCCTGGTCTCCACGCCCCGCAGGCCCTGCAGGAGCTGCTCATTGCCAGGGTCCCGTGCCAGCCCCTCCTCGTAGGTGGCCTTGGCCTCCTCCAGGCGCTGCAGGAACTCCAGAGCCGCCGCCTTCCGTGAGTAGCCCTGGGGGGGCACCTGCTCTGAGACCCCAGCTGGCCCTCGGGGGGCGTGGGGGGGGGACTCTGGGACCCCCACCCTGACCCTCCGTGGTCAGTCCCTCACCCTGTCCCTTCCTGACCAGTGGGGGCTGCACAGACCCCCCAAAATCACCCCCCAAAATCCCATCCCTCCCTGACCCACAGGGACCGTGCGCCCACACCCTGAGCCCACCATGCCCCACCTTGCCCCAGTCACCCCAGCCTGGCCCAGTTGCCCCACTCTGCTCCAGTTTTGCCCTACTCTGCCCCACCTTGCCCAGTCTGCCCACCTTGCCCAGGTGCCCACCTTGCCCACTCTGCCCCACCTTGCCCAGGTGCCCACCTTGCCCACTCTGCCCCACCTTGCCCAGTTTGCCCACCTTGCCCAGGTGCCCACCTTGCCCACTCTGCCCCACCTTGCCCAGGTGCCCACCTTGGTCCAGTTTTGCCCCACCTTGCCCAGGTGCCCACCTTGCCCAGTCTGCCCACCTTGCCCAGGTGCCCACCTTGGCCCAGTCGGGCCGCAGCTCCAGCGTTCGGCACGCATCAGCCAGGGCCCGCCCGTAGTCGCCCAGGCGCGCGTACGCTGCCGAGCGGTTGCTGAACAGGACGTGGTTGTTGGGGTCCCGGGCGATGGCGGCCGAGTAGTGACCCACGGCTGCCTCCACGTCCCCCGCCGCCAGAGCCCGGTTCCCCCGCTCCTTCAGCTCCTGAGCCTGCGGCACGGGAACCGGAACGGGAACGGGAACGGGACAGGGGGAACGGGAACGGGACAGGGAATGGGGACAGTGAGAGGATGAATGGGAATGGGACAGGGACAGCGAGAGAGAGGAGGAACGGGAAGAGAAGAGGATGAAGAAGAGGAAGAAGAGGAACAGAGAGATTGAAGGGGAGGGAGGGGAACGGGACGAAGGGAAAGGAGGGAGAACAGCGAAGGGCCGGGAGCAGCAAGGTGCGAGGAAGATGAAGAGGATGAAGAGGATGAAGGCGTCAGGAAGATGAGGAGAATGAAGGTGTGTGGAAGATGAGGATGATGAAGGTACGAGGAAGATGAGGATAACCAAAGTGCGGGGAAGATGAGGAGGATGAAGAAGCAAAGCAGGGCAAGTGGCAGGAAGAGGGAGCAGAGCGAGAACAGCAAGAGGGGGCGAGAGAGGCGTGAGCAAGGGCGGAAGGATGAGGATGAGGGAGGTGAAGATGAAGGAGAGACCAAGAGGAAGAAGAACAAGAACGTGAGGAAGGAGGCGCTCACCGGAGACCCCAAACCCCTCCAGGCCCTCCCCGCGTCCTCAAGGACCCTGAAACCCCCCCGGGGCCCCCTCGCTGCCCCTCAGCTCCCCCAAGCCCCACTCGCCACCTCCCCAGGACCCCTCAGGGACCCCCAGACCCCAAAACCGCCCTGAGCCCCCTCAGAGCCCCCCGACCCCGGCAGGGACCCCCGACCCCCTTCAGGATCCGCGCTCAGACCCCGTCCCGACCCCCAGGCGCTGTCCCCGGGCCCCCTGAACCCCCCGGGCCCCCCCAGCCCCTCCGCCCGTGCCCGGGACCCCTCAGAGCCCCCCCCCTCCGCCACCTCCTCCATGGCCACGGCTCCGCTCGCGCCGCTCCCGCGCCGCCCTCTGGAAGCTGCTAGAACCCCTCGGCCCCGCCCCCCGCGCCCCATTGGCCGCCCGCCCCGCCCGCCCGCCCCCGCGCGCGCTCCCATTGGCTGCCGCCCCTCTCTCCTGCTTCCCCATTGGCTGTCGGGCTCCTCTGGGCCCGCCCCGTCCCAGGCGGAAGCCGGCACCGGGGCCCGCCCCCGCGCGCTCCCATAGGTCGGATCTCCCGGCGCTGGGCGCTCATTGGTTGGGCTCCGCTGGGACTTCTGGAATTTTCCGCTTCTCCCATTGGCTGCGAGCGGCGCTAATCATAGAGAGCGGAGCGGAAGAAAGGAGAGGCGGAGATGGGGCGCGCCCCCTGGCGGCGCGGAGGTCTGGCTGGGAGGGGCGGGGGGCTTGCACTAAAAGGGGCGGGGCTTGCACTAAAAGGGGCGGGGCTTGCACTAAAAAGGGGCGGGGCTTGCACTGGGCCCCTCGCCCGAGGCCAGCGGGAGTCACGGCGGTGAATCCAGGGGGTCCCTTGGGGGGAATGGAGGTGTCGAGGGGGACACACGTGTGACCTTG